TTTAGGGGTTTCGGTTTAGGGTTTATTAGGGTGTCGGGATTTATCTGGGTTCCTCTAGAGCGGATCTCCAAATAGGTCATTTCTAGTTTGAAGAATCCCGGAGCTAAAGATTCTTTGGGTTCAGTCGCAGTTTCAAGGATCCAGGATTCGAAGTGCGTGACTTCAGGATGTGGGGAATAGCATGACGTAGCACAGGACCAAAAAGATTGAGGTTGAAGGAGGAATGTCCGAGTCAGTGGGCTCTAGGCTGCACGCAGCTGCTGTGTCTACCGTAGTGCTGGACGTTTGTTGGCAACTGGTATGCCCACCAGCACCAGCACCAGCAGCAGCCGCAGCACCACCACCAACAACAACAGCCAAAGCAACCACAGCAGCAACGACGTCAGCGACAGTGACAGCAACAGAAGCCACAGCAACAACGACGTCATCAACATTGACAGCGACAGCAACAACAGCAGCCACGCCAACATCAACAAAGACAAAGCGAAGCAGTGGCGGGCGGTCCTGCAAGCGGTAGCTACAGGAATTGTTGCTGCGTATTTTGGTACTGTTACGATTGCTCTTTCTCATGCTTGACACCATGATTCCAAGACCTTAAACCCTTCGGAATCCGTTGATTGCATAGTATAGGGTTCTGAGCTCTGGATTAATAGATGTGTTTGGCCCTTCTGGTCGCTATTCCAATGTGTATATATATATATATATATATATATATGTATGCATGCAAGTATACTAGAATATGTCCCTTGCTGTCCCCGAAAAGGTCAAAGAGAAGCTTCATCAATTCAAGCGTGCGATCGAGGCTGCACCACTGCATGTTTGCATGCTACAAAAACCGCTTGAGGGTTTGCAATGCTTCAAGTGCTTGCCCGTATGTACCCGCATAGACGTGGTGCAAGGCCTGATGGCAGTTCTGACCGCATCTGTGGGTTCGCATAGAGAATGTATGCAGGGTAAAGGGGTGTTCCAGTGTTTACTGTGGGGAGCATAGAACTGAGAGGTTCGGTTTCTATTCGGATGTCCATGAGTGCGTGTGGGTGATGAGGGTTGCAGTCGGCTGCAGATCCTGCCAAATTTACTCTGCACCTACATAACGGTTCTTGAATACCAACCTAGGTGACCGACAAACTACGATCATGCCAATAGGGTTTAGGGTTCAGGGTACTTGCAGTCATGAAAGCGTCGGTTTCTGACGCTTTGAGATTCGGTGTAGGGAACGTACTGCAAACGCCACCCAGGTTTGTCCACAGAACATAATGCACCCTGGTAATTAACGACTATACCCTATGATTACTATGTGCTTGACGAATAGACCTGTCTGTTGTAATAAGACTCATCCTCCATTCACCGCTTTCACTGGTAATCTACGCTGACCCTCGTTGTGACATCCGCAGCGAAAACCAGCATCTTCATCAGCCCCGTGGGAGCAAGAATCCCTAAGGCGCTGCTGCCTTAAAATCTCACGCTCGAAATCCTAATCCCTGAAGCCCTAAGCTCTAAACCCTAGTATAGGCATCTGAATACTTGCTAATACTATTTTGGGTGTTCCTTATGAGAGATATAGTATAATGTACCCCTCAAACCCTAATCTATTGATTAAGCCCCCTATATCAACCCTTATACCCTAAACCCTAAACTCGAGTTCTTTGGGCTGGACGGAAACAGGGCCTTCAAAGGAAGAAACTCAAGTTCTTAAGAGCCCTTCCCCAACCCCTAAACCCTGAACCCTAAACTCTAAACCCTGAACCCTAAACCCTAAACCCTAAACCCTAAACCCTAAACCCTAAAGCCTAAACCCTAAACCCTAAACCAGCCAACCAACCAACCTAACATCGAATGCCCTCACCCCTGAGATCCGAAGTCTTAGCCCTATACCCAGGGTTCAGGGCCGTTTAGGGCTTTGGGCTTACGGCCGTTTAGGGTTTAGGGTTTAGGGTCGTAGAGGGCTTAGAGTTTAGGGCTTTGGGTTTAGGGTTTAGGATGTAATGTGGGGTTTAGGATTTAGGGTTTAGGGTTTTAGCGCTTAGGGTCTTCTGAAACCCCACGGCAAGCAGCAAGCTGAAACCCCAAAGTTTAAGCCGCCGAAGGTGCCCTGCCCTAGGCTCCTCAACACAAACCCAGGCCAAGCAAAGAACCCCAAACCCTAAGACCCCGAACCCTGAAACCCTAAATCCTACAAGCCCTACAACCCTAAACCCCGAAACTTTAAAGCGCTAAACCCTAAATTTAAAGCACCCAAGAAGCCCCAAAACCCTAAACACCCAAAAGAAACCCTAACACAAGCAAAGAACCCCAACACCCTAAACCCTAAAACCCCTAAACCATAAAACCCGAAAGCCCGTAACTCCCAAAACTCTAAACCCTAAAACCCTAAAGCCCTAATCCCCAAACCCTAAAACCTTAAAGCCCTAAAACCCCTAATTCCCAAAGCCCTAATGCGTAAATCCCTTAAAACCCTAAACCCTAAACCCTAAACCCTGAAGCCGTAAAACCCCTAAATCCTAAAACCCTAAACCCTAAAACCGGAAAGCCCTAAAACCCCTAAACCCCTAAACGCAAAAAACCCTAAATTCCAACAGCCCCTAAATCCCAAAAACCTTAATCCCTAAATCCCAAAACCCTAACACACCTAAATCCCATAGCCCTAAAACCTGTAAATCCCAAAAACCCTAAACCCTAAAACCCTGAAGCCCTAAAACCCCTAAATCCCAAAACCCTAAAACCCCCTAAATCCCAAAAACCCTAAACCCTAAAACCCTGAAGCCCTAAATCCCAAAACCCTAAAAGCCCTAAATCCACAAAACCCTCAACCCTAAATCCCAAACCCCTAAAACCCTAAATCCCCAAACCCTCCATCCCAAAAACCCTAAAACCCCTAAATCCCCAAACCCTAAACCAGGATGCGAAGCTGCTAGAGCCGCCTTTACCAGGTTGGGTGCTTTTGCTGCTGTGTTGACGGGTTTGAGGCTTCAAGTATTAGAGTTTAGGGGTTAGGTTTCAGGGTTTAGGGTTCAAGTTTTAGATTTTAGGGTTCAAGTTTGGGAGTTTAGGGTTTGGGTTTTAGGGTTTAGGGTTCAGATCGGAGAGTTCAGGGGTTAAATTTTCGGGTTTAGGGTTCAAGTTGTAGAGTTTAGGGTTTAGGTTTTAGGGTTCAAGTTTGAGAGTTTACGGTTTTGCTTTGAGGGTTTAGGGTTCAAGTTTTAGAGTTGAAGGCTTAGTTTTTACGGTTCAGGGTGTAGGTATTGAAGTCCCTATTGGGGTTTAGGGTGTAGTGTTAGGGTTCAGCTTTTTTTCGTTGCGGGCCCCTTTAGTATGTTGAAATTCATGTTTCTGTAGGGTTATAAGAGTGGAAAAGCCCTGAGTATTGAGATGAGCTTCTGTCGCGTAGTTTTGCAATCTTTTGCATGGTTTGATCAACCCTGAACCCTAACCCAAAATTCATGCCGGGCATTCGTTCGATTTCATATAATGTCTCCGAGATGCTATGCAGGGGTAAACGCAGCAGCCTTAATGCTCAGGACCTACGAGTATTGCTATACTATTTTCGCACAATACCAGAGAGCCGGCCCTAGCCCATACTACCGTAAACCCTAAACCCCTAAACCCCTAAGCTGGATCCGTGTCCTCTCCATTATCGATTCTGAAATTCTGTATCATGGCTTAGCTTAACCAATGTAGGACTCATGCAAGCAAGGATTTATGCACGTGGAGGTTCATGGGTAGTTATAAGCGCGGTTATAATTTGGGTAACTACAGCTGCAACCCATATTTTATGACCACAAACCCTAAACCCTAAACCCTACTTATAACTACCCATGAAGCTCCAAGTCGGGTCCAGGGTCCACGGCTTGGGCTTTAGAGTTTGGGCGCCTCAGGGTGTGGAACATGGAGTACACCAATGGCCCAGGCACCAAGTTTGGCTTGAAGCGGTTGTCGCAGTACTTGGGGAGCAAATGGCTCGGAAAGCAGATGCAGCTGTTCGAGGAGACAGCCTCTGGGATTGTGGTTGCAACGCCCGAGGGCTCGGAGACGCTGACTGAGGCAGACTTGGCGAGTCTGCGCCAGACCCCCGGCGTCCATGAGGCGTACCAAGGCCTTGGCAAGCTCAGTGGGAGTTTGCGAGTCTTGGCTTCCTGGCCTGCAACCGAGAGAGAGAGAGAGAGAGACAAAGAAAGAGAGAGAGAGAGAGAGTATGTTCTCATACCCCAAGCAAGCAAGCAAGAGAGGAAGAGAGACAGAGAGACAGAGAGAGAGAGAGAGAATTATAACAAGAAGCCCTAAGAATAATGTTGATAATTATTTAGGCTTCTACGTTAACTCGAGCCTCGGGTGTACCCTGCGTGGAGTTTTATGAGTGGTCGCTCCCCGGGTACTTTGAGGGTTCAAGCTTTAGAGGTTTAGGGTTGCGGGGTTTAGGGTTTAGGGTTTCCTGAGTCTTGAGGGTTCAACAGATGCGAGGTTTAGTTCAGGTTTTGGGGTTTGGGATTGGTGGGAGTCACTATCTGTCGGTTTGGGGTCAAAGTTTGTCCTCGAGCTGTGTTTCCCTCGAGCTTTGCTTCCTGAAAGGTGTGTGTGTGTGTGTGTCCCAAAAAGATTCCCACAAAGTCGAGTCTTCAAACCCTACACCGAAATCATGCATCTTACCTCATCCCGATACCATGGACGAGCCTTCCATCATACCAAGAGTCATTAAATAATGGTAACAAAAGCCTTTTCAAGCCTGAGCCGGAACTTTGAGTCCTGAATTCGTCAAGGACTGGAAAAAGCATCTGCGATCCTGAAAGACCAGGCGCCCGTGAACTATTTCAGTGAACAACTTGCGAACTCCAGCCATTCCGTTCAGCATTGAGGTGTAATAGAGGCCCCTCAATATTTTCGTGTTCGTTGTCATGGTTCAAGGTTGTACCGGTAAGGCTTATAAGGACGTTTTAGGGTTTTGGGTTCTAGGGTCTAGGGTTTAGGGTTTAGGGTTTAGGCTTTGTAGTTGGACCGCGGTAGGTTGTGTAGAAATTAGCCCCTGGATTATCTCCGACCCCTCCCTTTTGCAAACTAGGCCCCCGTCCCTGAACCCGAGATCCTTATTATGGTTTCAAGCCTATCGACCGAAACTGTGCCAGGCCTGTAATGTGTCTTAAACGCTGTCTACCTCAAACCCCAAGTACTCCAAACCCCGCGGCCTAACCTCTACTAGGTTCCTGGGTAGTACCCTCTTGCCTTCTTTTTTCGCACGGTTCCCTGAGGAACACTGAATAACAGGAAAAAGGGTACCCTTATTGTTACGGGGTCACTCAGGAATCAGGAACCTAGAACCTCTAAACACCTCTAAGGAGCTCCTAAGCGCCCCTGAACACCAAACAACAGCCTTCCTACCCGCAGAACCGACTGTAGCAACGCTGCACCCAAATCCTGCAGCCGAAACAGACACCCTGAATCAAAGCCGTCTAATAACCAGACATCGCAAATCCTGCCTGCAAACCCTGAACGCTGAACCCGAAACCCTGAAACCCTGCGGCCCTAAAACCTGGACCCTAAACCCTGGACCCTAAACCCCTAGACCCAAATCCTTAAGCCCTGACACTCTTAAGTCCTTAAGCGCTAAACCCTAAAGTCCCTGAATCCCGAGCTTGAAGGCTTAATTTAGAGGGGCCTAAATAATTACCTATACTAGTTTGGGGCTTCCTTATTGTTATATGTATATTATGAAGGACCTATACTATTTTGGGGCTTCCTTATGGTTATATCAGAGTTTCGCCTGTGTGCCTT